GAAACAAATGAACAAATTTCCATCAAAACACCCAAGTGATGGGCAGTAGCTCACTACTGTCCAGAGCACCTTGCTCTCCTACTGCCTCCATGGTTGGTCAGATGTTGGAAAGGATCCCCACGTCACCACACTTAGTTCCCACTCTAGGACAGGCAAGACTTCACCAACCCCGCTCCAGCTACCCCACGCAGCAAGTATGTTACCTTAACATTTTTTGGTAAAGGTGATAAACCAGCTCAGTAACTTGAGGAGGGCAATGACTTTGATGGATTTGGGACCACGGAGCTGGCTACCAACAGCAAGGTCAGTATGTGCAGTGTTTTCCCAACGGGCTCTTTGAAGGTTTCCAAGCCAAAGCCTTCCCTAGACCCAGAACTTCACCAGCTGGGATGAGGATGCTGCAGGTCTGTCAACCCAAGAAATCCCATCAGCAAAGCAGACGGAATAAAAAGCATACAAGGGCAAAACTATCGCAGTGCAGTTCACTTTCCGTCCACCACGTGGATTAGCATAATTAATGAAGAATTTAGAAACTTTTAGACTAGGAAGCAATGCCACCTAGTGAACAGGACAGCATGTGCCAGACAGGGGACATGGTCCCAGGGTGGGGTGTCGATGCAGCAAGCTCCCACTGCTGTCGTGGGACTCGGCAGCCAAGCCGAGCAGTGCATGTATATAGCATCGGTGCAAGGACTAACCAGGTATCCCACCCCACCATCTGCCCCCCTAGCCTCACCAGCTACACAAGCACAAGTTCAAAGACATTTTGACCGATGAATAATTTAAAGAAAAATGCATTTTCAGTAGGCCTTGAATTTAAATTTTCCTTCAACAAGACATTTAAAGCTGGAAAATATACAGCTCAAAAAATGACAGATGGCTTTAAAATTAGAGATCAGATTATGGAATTTATAAAGGTATTACAGAGAAAAAGAAGCACTGAATGTTACTAAATTTAGGATAAAGCCTGAGCAGCCACTAGCAATTAAATAAAAATTCCAATCAGAGCCACAGCACAGCCCCAACTGCCTAACAGAGGGCAACCGGTTCCCATTCCTGCTCTGAAATTTTCCATTGCCAGCCACAGCACAGCCCCAACTGCCTAACAGAGGGCAACCGGTTCCCATTCCTGCTCTGAACCATTTTCCATTAAAAGATCCAAATTATGAGCAAGTCAGACTCTCCACACAAGATATTTGATGCAGCAGTTTTTCGGAGTTTTGGGGTTTTTTCCCCCTAAACGAATTCCTGGTTTTGTTTAGTTATTTGCAAACCCATGTCAAGTTATAAGCATATGACCACAAATCAGACAGAAGTTGCTACTGATGTGGTTTCTCCCCCCCACCACCAGCATTTGTCATGGTAATACAGAGTTATAGAAATAACAGTCGTGATCTATAGTAGGGCAGCAGTTTGATCAGACTCAAGACTTCTGGTATGCAAGACTTCTCTACCAAAAAATGTTTCGGCCAATTTGTAAAATTGATGGGACTCCGGAGTAATCACGCTGGAGCCAAACACTTACATGTTTGATACAGAGGGATTTTCAGTGGATTTGATGCCAGGTGGAGGGGCGGGGGGGGCGTTTGTTTTAACATACGCATTCTTTTTGCAAGTGCGGTGCAGACTTTGCTGAGAAACGTGTGAGAAGACAACAACCAACGTGGCAGGCGACACGCAACCAGAAGGCATCATGGCTTGGTCAATCCATGAGCCGGGAGCTGGAGCACGCAGCAGCACACGCTGTTCTGATGGTCCTTGCGTGACATCTGGTGGTCAAAAAGTACCCCGGGAAGAACCATCTGACTCAGGCTGCACCCAGGGTACCCCCACAGCCACACGAAAGGCCGTGAGCTACAGCCCTGCCAAGAACTCCACCAGGACCTAAATGCTCAGTTTCTAACGTATGTTGTGGCAAAATGATCAAATAGTGATTTTGGGAACTGAACCTCTACACTCCCTGTTTTCTAAATAGCACTGATCCTCTCACGTACATCCCAGTCCCTTCTAAAGACTAGGCGTCCTGTCTGGGGACAATCAGGTGTCTACAAGAATCCTAAGTGGACATAAATTTAAGGCATTGCATTTTATTAGCCTAAAGCTTTTCAGCATCTTTTAGCTATATTTATGTTCTAAAGGAAAAAAAACATTCATCTGAAGTGTGGTCCACCAGAGGACAAAACAAAACTCTGCCAAAAATTAAGCCCTGAAGTCTCTTTCTGCCCATTAATAGCAGCATTTAAAGATTGCCACCTTGTACTAATTGCGTGAGAAACAGAAGCATTTCAGTATGCAAAACTGAAAGCAGATCTCCAAAGACAAGTTTCCTGAATGAGAAGGGAATATACTTATTGAAGATACACCTTAGAACTTCTCTATACCTCAGACTTCTTTAAAAACAAAAAACCCCTCAACTCTGAAACCCCAAAGAAGCCAGGAACTGAAAGGTGAGCTGGAATCGACTTAATCTGTAAGAGCCGTCGGGCAGCCCTGGTGTTTGCAGTGCAGCAGAAGCACGCTTGTCTGCTTTTCAATAGGCTGGAGCTGTCAGAGACGCTGAGGATAAATTGTCAAGCCACAACTGTCCTAAAAAACGTGATGTTCAGCTGAATGCTATGGAGGGAGTTTCTTTGCTGCAGTTGCTGCCTGCATTAAGTCGATCTAAACCGCATGGGCTTGAAGCGAGACATAGCGTCCCTATGTGCACAGCAGAGCAACCGTCCCTGCAGAAGGCATCTCTTCCCCCCGTTTCTCTCCCACTCATCCCAAAGGCTTTCATAAACAAGATGGCTCCTTGTCTATATCAAGCTCATGTACCATAAACATGACCTGACCCACATTATCCAGTTAAATACATCTTATTTAAAGCTCAGTTTCCCCCCTGCCCTTCCTCCCACGACACATTTATCACAAGGCAGTGCAAACTGATACCCCAAGGGATTTTTTGATCCCTTCTCCTCTCGGCCGCTTCCCAAAGTTGCCAGTAAAGTGCCACAGGTAATCTAAGCATTAGGCAAGGTCTGCAACCTCAAGGAAGTGCGGCATTAGGGGAGATGTGAGTGACCAGCAAAGCTGAAATCAAACACAAAAATTAAGAGTAAGAACTCATCAGAATTTCAGGCAGGAGCAGGAGCTGCTTCGCACACGTTCTGCTTACTTGTATTGAGAGACAACAAACCAGTTGATTTCTCAAGATATTTCACTCAGTTCACAACAGTTTTTAGCTCTATAGTTTGTAATATTACATGCTCTGAAAACGAAATTCAATCCCCAAATCCTTCTAGTTGGTTACTCATAAAATCCATTAAGTTCAGGCACAAGCAAACCAGGCTCATCTCTTTCCCTCCCAATGCCTACTACATATAAATAGTAATTATTGTTCCTGGCAAGGCTCTAGTGTCTCTTATGGTTCTGTATTTTAACGATCTGGTTTCTTAGCACTTTCCACTGAAAGAATATATTTAACAAGCATCCATGTTTCCTCCTCCATGATAGGATTTTTAAATTATGAATGTAATAAAGACAATGATGTTGCCAGTCTCATGATTAATAGCTTAAAGAGACATTTGCTAAGCCTTCATTCCCTCCATTATCACAAATTCACAAGCTGTATGGCTTTGTAAGATTCAGCAAAGACAAGGTTTCACTCTATAGTTACATACCTAAATCAACAAGCAATTGATCTAGAAAAGCAATTTAAGTCCTACCTATTCTGTTGACAGATGTGTGTTTTTTTAAATGCCACCTTAGTAGAAAGTGTCTAACACAAGATTTCCACCCTTATTTATGCAATATGTGACATGTCCAATCTTGTATGTTGTCAGAGCTCAAACCACAGTAAGTTATATCACTGCGGTGCTACGGAACAGAGAGCATCATTAGCGTACAGTTCAGAGTTATTGAACTAATCAACTGGAGAGTCTTCTCCTAATAACATAGAAAACAAGCTGCTGCAAACATTCCCTCAACCATCACATCAGTTGCTTTCAAAATTAAAATGAAAACAAACCGCTGAAAGAAAATAGGGTTTTTGGTAAAACTCAATTTTATTACTTCACAGGAACATGGGCTTCATTCGATGCAAGAACACACCCACAAAACACAGTTGTTGCTCGGTGGACTTAAGTCTACGTCACTTCCCAAGGTTTAAATTTTCACATCAACTTGAATAAATGCTACAGTAGATAATGCCAATCAAAACTCCGGGAAAGTAAAGATAAGCTAAGCATTATGCTAGAGATTCAACACAAGCCAGCAACTCTGCAAGCCTGTCTGGCTCAGTAATCAGTGCAAGTGAAACATTCAAAATATCACCTTCACACTCCAGAGGGCCAGGTAAGAACGGAGCAACAGCACGTTAGATAGCACAAAGGTCCAGCCTCCATCCTGCAAGTATTTAACAGCTCAGCAACAGGCATTTCTCTACTTACCTTGCAGAATTCAAGGCCACATTTTGCATTTATTTATATCAGCTGCACAGTCATTTTAAACTATAGATTAAAGCAAACAAAATGGAACCTAATAATTTATTTCCAGTTGTGTTTAAGGTTTATTACAACTCAGGTTGCTTAAATTTGTTGTGCACGAGATGGAGGCTTCACCAGTTCCGGGACTATTTGTATAAATGAGCACAGCAAGACAATCTCTTTGGAACAAGTTGTGAAATTTAAGCATCAGCCAAACCAGTTCAGAGTAATTTATGAAATTCTGAAGATCACATTAATGGAATTGCTAACAGCCATAACTACATCCACATAAACGTGCCTCTCATAATAACAACGCTCTATATAGTTCTGAATGTTTTAAGAACTGGTAAAATGACTACAGATTATGGAGTCCATCTCCTTTAAGGCATCAAAGACATTCTCAAGGAGGAGTTAATTAGTCCAGTTTCACAGAATACACCATTACAGAGCCTGAGATTCTGACTGCCTGTGATTAATTTCAACCCTGCACCAACATACTTTGCTTACATTAGCTCTGTTTTCAATTTCCCCTCCTTTTTTTTACAGAGGCCTCTCACTGGTGTGTTCACAGCTGGAGACTCAAGTGCAACTCCTCTGTACTGCCCCATAACCAAGTGGAACACTTGTCAGCAAACGTCTAGATGACAAGAAAGCACATAAGAAGTACTTTCCAACATGCGTATTTCCCCACCCTGTTCCTCAGTTCACGAGGCAGCAGATTCAAATGCAAGCCCCACTTCCCTCAAATGATCTGGTACACATATGCACTTGCTTCAAAGCATCCATGTTCCCGTTAAACACAAAGTTTACAGAAATACTGTCCTTTTACTGATGCCACTGATAAAGGGATCACAATTAAAGACTCCTCCCAGTCTCTCCTATAGAGGAGGAGTCAACCAGTAGTATCAACCAGTAGTAGGCACCAAGCTTCAGGAAAGGACTACCTGTGGTCCAGTGCTCCAACACATTCTGATGCAGTGAAAAAATATCCATCAACGAGGCAACTTCCACAAAAAATAAAGGTCTTCCTTGGAGGCACTGAGTCTCCCAGGCTGGTACACTGTCACAGCACACTTTTCAAGCTTCCTTACCAAATAGCTTAAGTCCTGAAAATAAAGGCAGCTTGCTTATGCAGTTCCCTTTCTGTATTTCACTCTCTTTCTGCAGGGAGCCTTTCTTGAGGATATAGCTTCACTTGCATGCATCCAAAGCTGGCACTGCTTTCATGTCTCCTCCTGGCCACCCAATTCTCCCTCTGTTCACGCTGGTATACACATTCAGTGACAAGTTACATCGAGAACTCCTCTGTCCTCTGGGTTAACAGCAGCCTTTTGGCTGGGTTAGTTTTAACGTGGATCAGTTCAGCTGGTCCCACCACATGGCAGCATTAAGTATTTGTACCATTCATGTGATAGCAGTACAGAAAGACGACAAGAATGGCAGCACTGGCTTACACGTTCTACCCTAGCACATGAGAAACTAAATCCCAAGTTTCAATTTTCATGGACGTCACCCTCCACTGCTCACAGTCACTCGCCCCAAGAAGGTGCTGCTGTTTGTATCAGTAACGCTTCAGGGAAACACCGAGAAACCACATGCTGTGGGGTGCTCTGCACCATACAATGGGCAAACGTATGTTTAGCCAGTCTGGGTCTTAATGTTCTTTCTGATTCAATAAGTTCCTCGTTTAAATTATCTAAGCAAGTGCTTAAGACCTTCCTTATCTTGCTAAATTAAGCCAGTCCTTGCCAGCTGCCAACAAGGGGAAGTGGGAACACACAAGGATACTGCAGGACCTCCTTCTCTAGCACAACACAGCGTGCACACGCTTCCATCTCCCATCCGGACTGCACTTGGCGCACTCTCGCTTCTCCCTGCTCCCTCCCATAATCTAGGACGGATTTGCACCTGGCTTAGCTCAAGCCTGAATTAATTTGCAAGACAGGGAACTCAGTGTGGTTTTCCTCCATCAGAAGTCAGGGCTACGGACAGACACAAAGTGAAGCTGTGCAACAGATGATGTTTAGCATTAAAAATAGTTTTCCTCTGGGCTCACTCCTTTATCTGGCAGAAAAACACAGCGACGACATTTTCTGGTGTAGCAGTCCCATACAACAGTCTCTTCAAACAAAACTAGCTCTCTTCAGCAAGGAGCACATCACAGTTTACAGATCAAGGCAAAACCCAAAAGCCTCAAGATTCACTGCTCTCACTTATCCCTGTCCAGTGCAACAGCATGGCAAAGTTTAGTGCTGGACTCCCAGCCTCCCGCCCCACTGGAGCAGAATGACATAATCTTGTTGTGTTTGTGTATCACCCACCAGAAGTGCTATTATTCCCAACCAGACCCCTCGGTGCTACTGAACGCAAACAAAACTAGAGACGTTTGAGACAATCAAACAGCGGATGCAGCAGAAATGAATTAATTTATATTTGAACAAAGGCAAAAGCCAATGGGAGGTTAAACACGACAAGCTTGAAGGGAGTTCATTTGAAGACAGAGCTGAAGGGAGAGATGCCGAAATGGTACATTTCACTGCATATTGTGGAACTGAAAAATTAGTCAAAGCCATCTGAGATTTAAACAGTTACAGCCAAGGAGTTTATCTTAGTATCCAAGTTGTGACTCTTCAGGGCCAGCTTTATAATTCTCCTTAATAAACACATCATGGAGACTTCTGCAGCATATAGGAACATACCATCAATCTGTGACTGAACACCTTTGTACTTTTTATTATACAGACAAGTGCTGAAGCTTTATTTGTGCAAAGGCTGCTTTTTATCTATAGGGAGAGGCTGATAATGACAGCTGGATAAATGTTAACAGAACAAACTTTATTAGCAACTTGAACTATTTAAAAAAGGGGTCTCCACAAATTAAATCTGTAGATGAGTTTAGCCACCCTAAAAAGTGGTAATTCAGTATTATATAGCCACAACAGGGACAATGGAGCTATCAAATAGGTTCTAGCTGTTCTTTTTATGGCATTGATTTTTTTTTTGATACATTCAAAGCATTATTGCATCAGAAAACATATCATGCATCTTTATGTTTCCAGACAAAATCACCTGTATTTGTCATTTCTAGCTACATCTCAAAGGTGCACCAAATCTACAGTTTTATGGGTTTAGTTGCATGCTTTGCCTATATGCATGCTGAGACAATAAATATTAAATACAGGAAAGAACATAAGAGAACCAAACTGACATAAGGAATATTTTATGGCAGGTCTGTAATGTTCTGCCAGTTAAAGAGCTTGTCAAAAAATTGAGGTAACAACAGTGGCCACACCACTCAGCTGAGATTCGCTCAAAATTCACTGAAGTTTTCAGAAATTCAAGTACACAAACACCAGCTGCAACTTGTCAAAAATGCCAGAGAAATTAGGTTGGTTGCATTTTATTAGTCTATTAGCTGGCGTTCACACAGCTCCTTGTAAATCCTTTTTCTCACTCGGGGCATATCTTCCTGGGAGAACTGAAAAGGCTGGTCTAAGGCGAGGCACTTGCAGTACTGAGGAAAAGGAAAAGGCTTGATTGAAAAAAAGGACATTTACTATATGAACGATACAGGCCACTGATTTTTAAAAAGCAGTACTCTTACCTGGAGCACAAAAACCCCACAGTCACTGTCATTTTTCTGTTGTGGAATGCACTAAAAGGAAAAGAAACAAGAAGGGACATGTTAGATCTTTACTTATCCTTTTATTCTCTAAGTCCTGCTTAAAGTCCAAAAGGAAATTCGGCAAAATGATCTGGTATCTCGTTCTCAGAGCTAGCTTTTCTGCAGGACTAGAAACTGGAGTTGTAATTACTTATTCTGATCCCAACTTTTGCAAGGTGACACTTAACACCTTGTTAGAATAACACCTAACATTTAGAAAAATATATAGTGGAGGACAGAAAACAAATTACAAATCTTTTTTTCAAGTTTATTTTCTTTTAGTGACCTACACAGAACAGCTTCTCAATTAGTTTAAATAAATGTTTGTACAACATTATCTGCTTTACACAGGACCAAACTATACCAGCAAAGTCACACAGGCCTAGAGGAAGATTACGCTCAGCATCCACGCTACCAGCAGTAGCTTTCCTCCCCCAGCCACACCAAAGGATCTCAAAGAACATGAAGAGTGGTACATTGTCAGGTGACAGACCTGAGCAAGGCAGTCTCAAGTGATAACTTTCAACCTTCATTATTTCTTCAAACATGCTCAATTTTGGTATGTGGAACTAAAAAGTCCCACTCACTAGTGCTGCTATGTCTCTGGCACTTGAAGAGGAAAAGTAATTATTTTTCCTCAACTCCCAGATCTTCTACCTCACAGAATGCAGAACGAACTCTGACTGCACAGGGTGTGCATGAGTGCAGAGAGGAATCATTTCATCATTGTATCAGCATCTAAAAATAAACCTGTGCGAGGAGGGAGCTGTTGGGAGTATGTCTAGCGTGCAATGACCTGTTTTATACCTTTGGAGCCATTATGGGATGGCTACAAAAATCATATTTTCTCTCATTTACACTGCACACAAGTTATTCCCTTTTATTGTCAGACTTCGTTTACTTGTGATCAAATGCAATGTGCCACAAACAGCCCTGGAGACCAAAGCCCTCTATCCACAGCAAATAGAAAATATAGGCAGTAGCAGCATTAGCCTGTTCCCTCCCTCACCAAACCCCATCCATTTGGCATAGTTCAGAACAGTCCTTTCGGGAGAAGTCAGAAAGCTGAGTCTCCAGCTCATTCAGTCCTCAACCTTGTGCCGAAATGGGCACCAGCTACAGGTTTTGCTGCACGGATATTTAATCGTCCAGAGATTAGGCTCAGATCACCAAGTCACTTGCAGAAAGTATTAAAGATCTGGTGGGAGCTGAATGAGCATCAGAGCTCTAATTCCCATGTGTAACCACCTGTGTCACTCCTACCACCCTTCACATGGTCAGCATAAAACAATTTACTACTTGTACAAATATATGGGTTTAGAAGCAGCCTCCTAAAGTCTCCCAGGAAGTCAGTGCAGTCAAAGTGCTGCCATTTACCTTTGTCACAGCAGTCTGCCAACCCTGAAGAAACTCGGGGCGATTCTTCTCTTTTGCTTCAGTCAGCAAATACTTTCGAATGTTCTTTAAAAAGGAAAGGAAAAAAAAGCAACAGTATTATTCACCAGCTAAAGAACAGGAGAGAGACATTCGCATCTTTGCTGGTATCCTTTTAACAATGAGGACAAATTTCAGGTAGGCATTAAGCATTAGGAGCTGCGCTCAGATCTAGAGGTAAAGAGATGAACTGTAGTGGGTACTGTGCCTTCTACCATCAAGGCTCTTCTTGGTCTATCAAGGGGAGCTTTAACACCCCTCAGCCCCACTGTACACTGGTATACTTAATACTAGACTAGCTGTGGCACTCTGGCACAGAGTCAGAGTGCTCTCAGACATGCAGAGACACACAGTGCAGTCTGGCATGTGTTCTCTCCTGGCTTACTTGCCTGACACCAAGGCCCTTACACTCAATATGATAGCATTTTCCTGCCTGAGTCTCAATACAAAATGTTTTGAGTTCTGCAGCTAATCAACAAAGCTCCAGGGAGAGTTTTAGTGACATTCAGGAAAAAATAGTCTGACACAAGCGAAGAGAAGGAAGCAAGATAAATGAGCCTATGGTCTTGGGTTAAGCAAATCCTTCTATTTCTCTGTAAACAGGCTGGTGGTTTAAAACACAATTTAAACACACTCCAGCACACTAACATTCGCCTTAGTGGGTGGATCACAGTGGAGTTTTGAGTATTGGCCCCCCTTCCCCTAGAAAGGGCAGGAATAAAAGCGTCTCATGTTTGTGAGACATTTAAGTGCAAATGCCTTGCCTGGAGCGGGATGGGAGATGCCACATTGCAAGAGTGCAGGAGAGACTGTAGGGCTGCTGGGAGGGACCCCTGGTTTAGGCTGCAAGTTCAGAAGCTGGAGAGCATGAGGTCTCTTGCTCCCAGAACAAACATTAGCTTCATCCTCAGCAAATGCTAGCAGGAAACTAGTATCTTCATTCAGAAGTCCTAGCTGGGAACTCTCCTGGGTACAATGATTACTACTCTTCTGTAAGCCAACAACTACACACAGTTAAAAGTAGAGGGCTGCTGCATCAAGCAAGCAATTAAGTTGACAAAATTAGCTTTTCTAAGAGGGTCATTACAATTTGCTAGTCCCAGCAAAAATTTTCTGGCTGTTTTTTACAGGAAGACTGATAATTTAACTCCAGCGTTCAGGTTGCAGCTTCGAAAGGTTGCTGGGTTATAATCAGAGTACGCACCCCGTACCAATGCAGACAGAAGAAAAAGGCCACATGCTGCTAATAGCACAGAAACGCGTAAACCCCACTGGGCAGCACTACAGCATCTTCAGTCCTGTTCTCTCACCCAGGCAACCTCCCTCAAAAAGGACCGCAATTTATCATTTCCTAAACACGAGTCCCTTAGCAGTTGAAAGAGCCGTCTTTACTCTCCTTCTGGCCAGTCTGCTTCCCTATGGCACTTGACTTTGAGCCCCTGCTTTTTGTGGGAGTGACAAGACAGAGCCACAAAAGGTGTGCCAATTACACGGTCAGGCTAATTAGGCAATAGGCAATCTGACCTCAACTCCCAGCTCTGGTGTGACCCTCGAGGTCTGTACTTCAAACTCCTCAGCAGGACAAGCTGATTCTCATTTTATACATGGCAGGACAACAACAGACACACGGTGTTTAAAGTTTAAGGCTGAACAGAAAAGGGGGGTGGTTTGTTTAAGAAAACAGTTCAAACTTTGCAGACACAGCTGTCACTCTTACCTCTACACAAAACTTAAAATGAATGCCTTGGGAATCATAAAATGAAATAATTCGATTGGGGATGTTCACAGTAATGAGGGACCAGTGGACTTCCAGGTGAATAGGAATTAACAGGAGAGTCTTTTTGAACAAGTCCACCTGGCAAGAACAATGATATACATTAGAGACAATTCCACAGGCACAACACACCAAAGCAAGATATTAATTGTATCTAAGTCTCCTCTCCGCCACCCCATAACTTAAGTCTTCTTTTGCCCCCTCCACTCTTTCAGCACATTCCTTACGTTCATCTCATACATAACTTTTTAGCAGGCACAAAAATACAATTACAGCCCAGAAAGTGGCTAAGGACCATTGTACAGTACCAGAGTTAGTCACCACTGTATTTGTGGCAAAAGCCTGCTCACGTTGCACTTTAACATCTGCGTCAAAGTGGGATTTCTTAAGTAATAATGGTAATACAGCTGAGCTGCAATTTGGGTTAGCCACGTATCTTCAGTAATGACACTCTTGCAGTATGAACGCCACTGATTTCTATCAGAGCTGCATCATGGATAGGTGACAGATGAAGCAGTTATGATTACAAACACCCCACAAAGCCAGCAAGCTGGTGCAGTTTGACTCCCTCTGCCGTAACACAGGCTCTGCGACTTGTCAGAGGAAGGCAGAGGAGTGCACAATGCTTTGGTGAGCAGAGGAAAGGAGGGGGTGAAGACAGAGCAGATCCATCCTTTCTTGAACTTCACTTTGTAGCAGATGTACTGTGGTCACAGGCAAGCAAACAAGGGAGAAGGTCTTAAAGTACAGAACAAGTAGATCAGATACAACACCCCCGGTGTCTGTGTGGCAGATGAGCCCTTATGCTTTTGGAAGGGCCTTTCATGATCTTCCTTCTCCCAGCTCCTCTTGAAATGGTTGTCTAATTGCTGGGTTTTTGGTGGTACAGTCCAGAAAAATAAGCAAAATTAGAATACTGAACTAAATGAACTCATCCTGTGGGAAGATTTCTATGCTGCTTTTTTTTTTTTAAGCACTGTGCAATTTGAACAGTATGTAATTGCTGCATTACTGGTAAAGGCAGGTCGTTTGTAGGAAAGAAAAGTGTATTTTTTGAGTAACAGTGGGAAGCTGAAGGCACAAAAAGGTCTGAGCATTCATAGCAGTTATCAGCAGAGCCTTGCTACAACAGTGCTTTGATTGTCACAAGCATCGACGATCCCTGCTCCCACCTGCAGAAACTGCTTCCTGACCAGATTACAGCACACTTGCTACACAACGATCCATCATTCTTGGAGAGAAGCAAAGAGATGTCAGCCAGCAGCAAGCTGAGCCCACAAAGGAAAACTGGAATAAGATAAGTGAACTACGCCTTCTGTGATGTCCAGCAACAGCAGAGCCATGCTAAACTCAAGGGTCCTCATGTGACCCGTGCTGTGGGATTGCTGCAGGCATGCAAACCTGTAGCAGAAGAGTGGAAAGAGGCAGCCAAAAGCTGGAAGGGTCTTTAGTTAAGACCTGATGTACAGAAAGAATGGTGGCAACCTAGATTTGCTTCACCGAGACAGTGCAGAGTCAGCTAGCTGACACGACAGTGGATCAGAGCAGGAGTGCCAATCTGATCAGTGGCCAGAAGGGACAGACACGAACAGGAGCTTTGAAACCACTGCAGCTAGATGCAGAAGAACACGTCCTTCTAGGCTCTGACCTGCTGTATCCCAGGAAAGCACACTTATAAAACCTGGTACAATACTCTGGTGTGTTTAAAAAGCAGAAACAAGTTCCCCTTAATTGCATATTGCAGGGCGAAGCAGTCTACTGAATCCTTCCAATAAAAACTGCTCAGTTCTCATCCTTGCTTTAGAGATTCTTCAGAAATTTAAGTGTAAATGTCTAAACAACTGTCCTGCTCTCATCTGGTCCCTCCTCAGCAGCAACATGAATACAGGTTCTGCTTTCAGGATCTATCTTCACTTTTGGGGTTTTTGCAAAACTTGGGTTGCTGGAGAAAAAGAACATTAAAAAAAAAATCTGGGAATATTAAGCACCAACATTCAGTCTCTCTCTAAAGAGATTTTAATAAATTATATGAATAGATTTTATATTTGGATAATGAGTTCATCTCTAGCATTTCACAGATGTGTGCTATTTAAGTGCTTCTACAGAAAGATCATACATTCAAACATGGTCCTTGATTAGTCTTGCCTCATCTCCCATATTAGAAAGGACAAATGTTCACAGAAAAAAAAAAAAAAAAAGAGAGCACTGCTCTTTGTATTAGCTACCTCAGAAAATGTCACAACCCACGATCTGGTACGGGTTCTGGAAAGCAAGGTGAATTCTGTTCTTGTCACGCGAACAGCAGTTTGGCTTATTAACTATGCGTCTCTAATTTCTGCTTTCTAGTACCTGTATGTGTTACCCAGGAGTAACAATTTGATTTTATCAAAGGATCCCAGTTTGAGATAAAAGCAAGAAGCAGAATTAAGTCTGCCCTCCTGTAGATTAGCGTACCTGGCACTGTCAGGAGCACTGAGAGACATTTCTTGCAGCTAAACTAACAGCATGCATGAACATCCACAAAGAGATAACCTACTACCAATGATGAAGCCATTCAAAGTACATTTTCACAACATAACCATACTAACTTGAATAGTGCCGCCTTACTATTTTTATTAACCTCTCCCCACTTTGTATAGCTCCTTTGCAAACCCATCCTTTGCAGGTAACACCTTGTAACCCAGTTTCAAGGTAATGATTCAACCCGGCCCAAGAGAACCAGAGTACTGATGACACGGAGTTAAAGGATACCTTTTTAGTCCATCGTTTTACCCCATTATATCCTTTGGTTACGAGCTGTCTATGAAAAAAGCTGTTAAAGAAATGAACCTGAAAAAAGAGAGAGAGGAGGAATGAGCACAGAAATCTTCACGCACAGTCATTCCCCTTCCCCCAGGATAATTTATACAAAACAACTTGCAATGAGGCAATATTTAACGCAGGTTTAGAAACAGAACCCCAGCAGGGACAAACAGAGACTTTACCAAGCCTAAGCTGCTGCTGTTTTTCAGCAAGCAAATAAAGCAAGCCTTATTTCCCTATAATATATGATGTGAGCCACTGCAGCATTTATATTTACACTTTATATCTCCAGGCATATTATGTTTAATTTTTTGTTGGGGACGGACTTGGGAGAAAAACACCAGGATAAGGAGTTACAGTTTTTGTTTTCTTTACAGGGATTAAGGAAGAGAACACTGGACTGGCAAAGTGGGGGTGGGGGAGAAGGGAGTAACTTCTCTTTTTAGTTGCTGGAAGCTGAGACTCAAAAAAAAAAAAAGTTACGAGATTTAATCCAACAACATGGTCATTTGTATTCAACTACTATGACCAGCTCCAGACAAAAACAATATTCTGCTATTTAAAAGCATTTTTAAGTTATACCACATCCATTTTGTAAGTAAAACCCTACATTTATGGCAAAAACAACACAGGCTTATGTTAAAAAAAAAATTGTTTAGCTCCAGGTTAACACTATTATTCCCTGTGCTTAGCTTCTTGCAATTACAGGAACAGATTAATACAAATGGAAATCTGCAACATCTGTTTTTAATAATTCTGCTAGCGTAGAGGTGGTAGAAGGCTTGAGTTATTACTTGAAGAAAGTTAGAAAATTCAGCATTTGAAAACACAGTCTAACACCCATTAGCTATGCCAACAGACTTCAAAACCACATTTTGAGGTACCAGCACAAAATCTCCCATGAGGATTTCAATTATACACTATGAAGAAAAAGCAGACACAAGCAAACAGATACAATCTCCAATACCACAACCCTAGCACACACTCGGGAAGTACAGAGAATACTAATGAAGAATCACCATCACCACCAATCAAAGCAATAACGCTCTTTCTTATGAGCTTACGTTCTGCAGAGCTCATCTAAAAATGGCTTTGTTTGGTTTTTCCTTTGTGGTCTCACCTGAAAATTGTTCGGCTCTACTACTAAACAGATGGCTTTTTATAATTGCCACTGCTGCAAATGTAGTCACAGAAGGGGGGGGGGGGGGGGTTTTTTTTGGTTTTTTTTTTTTTTCCCTTTCTTTTTTTCAACTGCCACCAACATTTAGACACTCCAGTTGGAAAGCAGTAAGCATTCTGTTGAGGATGCACAAACCAAAGAGTCCTGCAGAGTCAATACTGCCGAGGAACCAAGCAGCTCTGCATTAATTCACATTCACCAGGCAGGCATCTGACACAGTTTGAGCTGTTACGGCCCCCATAGCTGCGAGGGGGGCAGGTGGGTGAGTGCAAGCAGCACATGTGCATGGTTCAGATGCTACCATTCATGGTTTGTCGTCTCAGCAGAAATCCATCTTCATCAGAAATTTCAGCTGAAACACCAGACTGGTGAGCAAGGGCATGGATAAAGCACTTAAGGAGCAGATAAGCTGGAGACAGGAACCTCTAGGTGGGAAAGGAGAGTAGGATGGGCGAAAACAGGGCACCTGTCTTCTACAGGTACATCAGTAACATCAAGCTACCAGAGACCACCTGCAGAGCTAATCCAATAAGTTCCTGAAACAAGAGCAACAGCACTGAAAGCTGTATTTTAGCACAGGAAAGGAAGAAAATTTGAGCAGCAGATAGCAACAAATTATAACGGAACCACTCAGAACATCATTGAGCTAAATCTCAATTCTGTATCTGAAATATTCAATGTTTCACCCTTCCCTCTCAATCTCTCATTAGGTACATTTGCATAATAACAAAACCCCTCACCTTTTCAGGGACCGCATCCATTATGAGTTCACCATACATGTTAATTATCTGTAAGAGTTAGTAAATATTTGAATATGTACAGAATAATTTTGTAAAACTCAAATGCACAAGTTCCCATAAAACGTAGGACCCTTCACACTTAAAACAGCACTAAGGAGGTGAGCAATTATAGTAACATTTTGCTGTAGTCTGAAGGACAAGCACTCTGGAACTAATAGTGGTCGGCCCGGAGAGAGACTGTAACTGGCTGCTTGAAGTCTGCCTCAATCTGAAACGCAGTTTAATTCAATTGAAGTCTACTGGTGCATGCCCTGGGCACTGCAGCCTTCTCGGTTTTTTGGCTGTGGGCCACAGTTTGCTGCTTCACTCCGCTGTTCTTGTAATCTGCTCAAGCTTGGGGATGGAGGGAGATGCTAAAACCTATATGGGTAGCCACTATTTTCTCAAATAGTGCAGCATCATTTCTTCAAAAGGAAACAGTTTAGTTGTGACACCTCCTGTCTTCCAGACTTGTAACCACTATTATTGCACCTGCCATTGTAAAAGCTGCTCACCACTTCTTTTACTTCTCAAGTGTAAAGTAAGGATAGTCCACCTATAACATAGCAGAAGTTGAACAACTGATATCCTAATATAAATGGGCTAGAAAGGGGTAAGGAAGCACATAAACACCAAGCATCTCTGACCTGGTCATTCAGCCAGTTCTGGCCTTCCAGTGTAGCTAAATCATCCATATCTAGCATGTGCTTATTATAGAAGACCCGGAAATTGCAAGTGGAGGTTTTTGGATGTTTTTCCCGATACTTCATGATTTCCCTGGTGATAAAAGGTTTTCTGAAACAGGATTGAAAAAGTAGAAAAAAAATAAGTCAAGGTCATATCAAATGGACTTCTGTTCTGTTAGGTGTTAGACGTGGAACGTGCAGTAGCAATGCAAGCAATTTGTCCTTTACAAAGTCTAGAATTTGATACTGCTACACACCTATGGGAGAAATCTTCATTAAAGACTTCTTTTAATCTTCCCATGACATCTTTTTCACAGAGTGGAACTCCCCTGCCATATTTCTTCATAACTTCATCTAGGAATCCTTTAAATATACCAGAAAAATGAAAGTGCAAACATGTAAAAAACCCTCCGAGTTCACTAGTCCAATAAAGCAGTCATTTCTTCCAAGTATGAGCAGCAATCATTCTGCACCCAACCAACACACAGCACCACACATGGCAAGTATATATTTAAGAAAACTAAGCTCCAATTGGCGACATTAAATAAAAGCAGGGGAAGGAGGACAAAAATAAAAAAGCAGGAATCTGATCACTCAGCTTTACAGGGAAAGATCAGACCCCACTCTTCCCATGTACACATATATCTACATCAAACTAATTATACCAGTGCTACGAGGATAATCCATCCCACTGCTTATTTCAATTAGCACCTCAAATAATTTTACTGCAACATGAAAAGCCATCAGTTTCTGCAACAGTTTCCACTGAAAACCCAGTATCTTGTCCTTACGGTATGCAGAATTACTCTCCTCAAATGTAAGCAGCCCTGGTTGGCAGAGTGTTTGCAGTCTGTTCAGCTCCTCTGCTGCCACCATAGCAAACAGAAGAGACACCAGACGGACTCTCAGCAAGTTTAACTCATTTACCCTAGTATCCTCGGGATGGCATGTAAAGTGCCATGGACAGCCATGTCAGCCTGCCATTGCCTGGGCAACCATAACACCAGAAACAAAAGATATTAACTAGGAAATAATGAAAAGATGGATGCTGGAGGAATTAAAAAACCTAGGAAAGATTTTTTTCTTTCCCCCTCCTCAGACACAAGACTGAAACAGTGGAGACATAAATCCCACCCAGGCATCCAAAACCACTTTGAGAATGAAAGAGAATGGAAAACAGGATTTCAACACTTGCTAATGAATAAGAGAAAAAAGACCAAGTTGTCCAGCTTTCTGAAAATGAGTTTTCAAATGCAACAGAAAACACGTGTTCTGTGTACAGGAAGCTGGATCTGAGATCAGAGTCCGGGGAAATTGCACTAACCCAAACTCCAGGACTCTTCTCAGGTCTGGGTGTGATGGCAGACAGTATCACTGGACAGTGCAGTGTATGCTTAGCTCTCTGCTTACTAAGGCTTTAACAATATTTCCTGGAAACTTTCAAAAATCAGGATGGGAAGAAGCAAGACGAGAGAAACACCTGACAGAAAAAAGTGCCAGAAGAACAGCAGTAAGAAAAGAATAAAAAAAGAAAGGAGACCAAGAACAAAACACCAAGAGATGAGAAAGGCAGTGAAGATATAGCAAGAAGTACACCTGGATGTGCGACAGAAGGGAGGATTGAAGAGCGAGATCAGACAAGAAGGAAGAATTCTTCATGGGAAGATATCCTTCCTTGCAACTCTGCCACACATTTGCCTAAACTTTTATCCCTTACATCTTAGCAGACTGTGACAGGGAGGATATTTCTCACTCTGGCTAGAAGTCTAGATAGAAGATGTATGGGGATGTAAGTGTACCTTATTCTCTTTTAACACATAAAATTTTTAAAAGCTTTTTGTTCATACACACAGAGGAAGGATTGTTCTCGTAGTTACAACAGTAGCAGAGCTCCAAGAGACCTCTAGCTAAGACTCTGACCTCACTCAGGCTGGTGTAACTGCATAACTGAAGGAGGAAAACACAAAGTTCAAACCTGGTTCAGATCAGACACCCATCACGAACAGGATTTACCATGGAGCTCTGTTTGACGCCTAATAGCGCATCAGAATGCACTAAATATTGCAGCCCATTAACATCTGAGTTCAGCTGCTACAGAGAAATTCAAAACTCGAGAGCATCCATAACACTTACATCTCCTTCATGCATCTACCCTAGCAACTCTTGCCAGGTTAGCAGTATCTTTTAGGGTGCAGTTAATAATTAACAACACTCCTGAACAGACAAGAACTTCTGTACATAGTTATACAAAAATTAAAATTCTTTTCAGCTGAGAAAACTCAGAAGCACTATACTGTCAGTATGAGTAAGTATGTAGTGTAGACTTGGCTTCAATCCTCAGAGAGGAACCCTCAACTGAAGAAAATGGAAACTGATCTCACCTACTTTCATTCAGAAGCTAGGTAAGAATTCTCTTAAAATTGTCAAGTGTGGGAAAGTTCAGTGCATTTGCTGTCTGCCTTTTTAATTTTATTTTTTTTAAGTTATTCAGGCCTCCCATGAACAAGAACATGACTGCCTATCAGACCACAAAACTTTAACCTTTGCCACTCTGATACAATCTTGGTTCTTGACTGTTACAGAAGGATTACGTCCCTTTTTCTGCTGGACAAACTTTAAAACTCCATTGCAGAAGTGGTCTGTTCACTGTGGTACCACAGTTTCTCTCAATTTCTCACAGTGCCTGGTCCTTGCTGGATCATGTAAAGCCAGTCATAGAGAAACACATCCCACACTAACTTGTGGATATGGAAAGCTAAATCATCTTTTGAGGTTCAACGTCTCCTTCTTCACATTTTGCTTTAGAGAATCAATTGCAAAATCGAAGGACAAAAAGGCAGGCAGAAAAATCAGAGCACGACAAACTTCAAACAATCCCTTTAACACTAGTTGACTCCAGCTTCGGGTTTATTGGAATCTATGAAGCCAATTTCTCCAAAGGAAGACTTCAGTTATCAGAACACCACTGAACTTAACATTATATTAATGGTACTAGGTGGCACAACGTGTTAGCTTACTGCTCCTTGCTATGTGTATAGTATGCTGCTATACATAAATAAGACACCGATTACTATTTTTACCATGTTCCTCTTTAGAGAAACTATCAAATACTGCATGCTCAGCATTGAGTAAAAAAATCCCAAAGCCTTTTTGCTGAACCTTTGCTAAGACTAGTCTTGTCTTTTTAAAAAATATTGTCTAATAAGATTCATTAAGCCTACTTTATGAACAACTGTAGAGAAAACTAAGTGACAATGAACAATACTTGGCTATTAAAACCTGAGATTCATTAAGTGATTTAGTTTCAGGCTAAGACAGCAAGAGAAGAGAGGATAAGGCTGGAAGGAAGTCCTTAGAACACTAAGGATTTTCAAAAACCAAGTTAAGAGTAATAATTGTCAACCATTTAAAAAATTGGAAGTTTTAACCCCATATCATCTTCTGAAACCACATGATCAAAGACATTTAAAATGTCCATCAACAATTTTCCACAAAGATTCCAATTAAATTACATTGTATTCTCTAAAACAAAAGAAGCAGAGGCACCATTCAACTATCCCTCAAAATAGCTTGTCAGATAGGCATTGATTTGTCCTTCCTTCATGCAGCTCTCCTCTTTGCAGCCTCATTTCGTTAAGTGTTATGCTAAGCACCCGTTACAATTCACAATAAGAAACCATTTTAATAAAGGAATTGACGCAACATGTAAACTCCAAGATACATCCAGCAGTTTTCAGGAACTCCTGGAAGCCCTAAGATATGTAAAAGATATACCACAAAGCCACGTTGCCAACTGCTCATCAGCCACCCGGGAAGCTTTCTGACTGATCCTTTTGCCTCCCTTCCGAGTTCCTGATTTTAGTCCTGTGCTTTCTGGTGAAGGCTCCTCAAGAGGACTTTTACAATAAGGGTGATCTAGTAACTTTGCACTAAAAATGTCCATGTTTAAGGAGCCCTCTACTTCCATTTGGCTAGAGCTGTCCTCATTTTGTGCCAGCTCCATGGATAAAGGTCCATTTGCAAAATTATCATCGACATCAGAATCCTGCAAGGAGGATTGCAACAGTATCGTTCCATCTACACCCACAACCTCATTAGATTCTGCGTCATCTTGACCTGAAACAGCAATTTCTTTTCCTGTCACAGAGACAAAAACGTCAGAGCAATGATCCTCTGCCAGAGCCCCGTTGGTCTCCACCTGGTGCAAGGTCTCTGCCTCCGGAGACGCTCTAGCATGCAGTTCTGGCAGGACAGCATCCACACTGCCATCCTGCCCTCCAGATTCTGGCTCCTCAGAACACGGCTCAGCACACGGTAATGCATCCTGCGTACAGCAGATCTCAGGTGCACATATTTCGTTCTCCTCACCTAAAGATTTGGGTGTATTATTGTTCATATCTGATAAGCTGTACCGGTTCCAAAGACGGTTACTTTTAGATTTCCAGTAGGAAAGCCAATTACACAATCCACTTTCAAAATCCCGCTGGAACGTCTCTTGGTGGTCCCTCGTAACTTTCTCCACCCACCTTGGCTTGATTTTTCTCAATTTGCAGGTTTTGCCTCTTGCTCGAAGTTCCGGGGATTTTATAATTCTATACCGAAACCTAACCATAGAAAGTTTCTTATGCATCATAAATAAAGATCTCTTTTTTACAGTATGATGGTTAAATTTGGACCTCTTTATAGTTGTCAAGGGGCCACAAGTTCCATTCCACTCCCTTTGCAACAGCATTTCCTTTTATAGTTGTTAAAACTACTAGGACTGTGTTGCCCTCACCATTATTGCTCTCCTCCCCGCTACACACAAAACCACCTCTCCTTACAGGTAAGGCAGCACCATCCAGCATACCACATGAGACATAATGGATATTGCCAGAGATGCTATTAAGAATAGCAACAGTTTCAAATTCTTCATTCAGAGGATCTTCACTCTGAAAGGATTCATTGTTGAGTTTTCTTACTGCTTCTCCAGATGGGCTTTCGGCTTTGCGATAGGGACAGGATCCTTTTGCTCTCAGTAGTTTTGTAAGGAAAGCTGTATGGTTCAACACTAGGTTTTTGATAGGTTTCTGCATTTAGAGGCACATCAGGAGCCCACCTCCTTTGGAGCTCAAGTGCCTTCCTTCTGCACTGCAGTCTTCTGTACAGTTTGTTGTGATTTAAGCTCACAATTAGCTGAGCACTCTGTCTTTTCTTCTTAGCTAGGAAAAATTGCTTTTGGAAGCAGTATTTCCCAAGCTCCCCAAATCCAGTGGTCCATTTTCTAGGCTGGGCCAGCAACTGACTTCTTTTCCAAAGCAAATGTCTTCTATGGTTTTTCATTTTTCTGCTGCATTATGATCTTGAAAAACAGCTGAAAGAATAAGGGAAATGAATTCAGAGTTATCTGGACTGTAACATAATAGCAAAACACTAAGGCACATTCCTCAGGCAACGTGCCTATCTAAAATTCCACCCGTCCTCCAAACACAATCCCACATTCCCTAGGACGTTCTTACTTGCACCAAAAGGAAAAAGATGCAATAGTTGCAATGGCTCAGTGCGTAAACAGGCTCTTCTCATTTACCTTCCCTTGAGGTAAAGCAATAAACAGGTAATCCCCACCCAGCCCACGTTCCCTATATGTAATTTCTGACTCTCTAGCCTGAGGTTAAATCTCTCTCAATACCCACGTTGTAGAGCAAGCGCAGTTAACTAGCTTGCCTCAAAAGGCTTTTGAAAAACAAAACTTTGAAGTCCAAGTTAGTCGACAAGTGTGTGCAGGTACCCGATTCCATCAGCATTGTACGAAGCGAAAGCTTATTCTTGTGCAATAAATGTTAGCAGGCGCTCTGAAGACGCTTCACACGCTCAACACAAATTTTTCCCTTAAAGGAACAGCAATGCACATACTGCCACAGAAATTTTGATTCTCTGACTAGATAAAGAATGACACAGCTTAGTCTGTGAAGTGGTTCCTCTATATTTACAGTAACAGCTCACTCCATATGACATCACCACCATCAGCTTCTATAATCGGTGTTTATCTTTGCATTAGCAAAGCAGTATCAATGCAGGGCACCAGCTAATCACCTTAAAAATCCCTTTCCCCACTAAAAACCTGCATCTCAAAGTGTGCAATAAGGATATATCTGAGACTACACAAGAGTGTAAAGCCTGCACAGTAATATCTATTCATCTTCACTACATAACTAAAAATATTAATTCAAAGGTAGAAGAATCCAGAAACACAAGGGGAAGGCATCAGGCACACACACAATATACGATGTTTCATGCAAATTGTCCCAGCCTCACCAAGTACATCCCATCCTGTATTTTACAACAGTTTGCATTTTTCTCAAATTCAGAAATGGACTTTGCCCCCCTCCTCTATCCAACTGATTCTGACTTACAGACTATTGTTACAAGTATCCCCTTAGCCACATCTGTCCCAAGCATCACACGCAGGCACCACCTAGCTGAAAATAAAGAAGCCTATAAATGGAAATAAAACATTAACAATTGGACTTCAAAGGCAAATATGAATGCCAGACACCTGCAAAAACAAGTATTTAAAGTCTGACTTAAGAAGCTCTTCTGCATTTTTCACTCTACTCATCTTAGACATAAACAGCAGGTGGCTTTTTTTTTTTTTTTGAGGAGTGGGAGTGGAGTAGAAATGCAAAGAGGATGAAGAATGTCATTTAGCACTCGGGTAAGGTATTCCCACCATACAGAAAACAGTCCAGAGTTCACTACCTACAACCTAGAAAGGAATCTAGCTACCTCCACTGACAGAGATGTGCAAGACAGTACAGCTTAACATTATAAGCACTGCAACAGTCTAGCTCTTTTGTAACCCTCTACTAGTCACCACGCAACTTAGTTATCATAAAAATCAGGACATAACATCTCCTCATGCCAATTTTCTCATACTTGCTTTTTTAGCACTTACATACTTCTCTACACTAGATCCAGTTTATGCCTGGTTTTACACTACAAACTCTACATGTCTGTCTATTGTGTATGGTACCTACAAAACATTCCTTGAGTGGCCCCAGTAAACATCAGCCAAACCACAGTCTTGCTAGGACAGCTTATTCCAGCCACACTTCCATCCAGGTAAAACAAACCAACCCAGCAAAATCGCAGCATTCTCAACAGAGCCACGTATACAAGGGGCTTGTGCCAACACGGCAAGTCTTGAGTACTCTAGGAGGAGCACAGCACATGAAGGTAATGGTTTCACTGCTTCTCAGAGTCCCAGCAATACGTGCCCAGTAACTGTGCAGTATACCTGCCGGTTTTTAAGAACACTCCTGAACGATTTGGAGTCATCTCTTTTCTCCTTGCTCTCTCATAGCAAAGTCCTACAAGAAGCATCCCCTCCATGGGCACTGCCTCAGACATGGAAGAAGGCCGAGCGACCGCTGGTTTCCTGAACAGCCGTGGATTATACAGGAGCTGAAACACCTACAGCTGCCATTGTTTCACCCATAGTAGACCGAACTAATGATCACAGTGGGAAAAATACTGAACTAGATTCTAGCAAAGATAAGTCCTGACAACAAAAAGAACCTGAGGCAAACCTGAATTGAGAGACAAGAGTGGTGCCACAGTTTCAACGCAATCAATTGCGGCAGCAATTGAAATAGCTCATTTGCTCATTAGTGTCATGACATCCAGCTTCTTAAACTGCAACAAAGGAAGATCTTAGGAAAGCTATTCTACCCACCTGTTCTTCTGCTTCATTTTTAACTTAGATCATTAAAAAATTCTTCACATTATAACTTACAGGATTAAAAAATACTTCATGTTTGTCTGTGATGCACACACTAATTTCTCCACATTGAAAGTTTCTTCTGTACAAAAAAGGCTCTCCTTAAAATGGGAAGAAAGTCTGACTAAGCCATTTTATCCAAGCAAACCTTTCCTGCCCTCCCCTCTCCCTTTTCAAACATAATCAATTTTGAGTCTGGATCTTTTTAAAGCAAAGGCCTCCAAGGAGCAGTTAATCCCAGTCCTAGGAGCTGAAACAGTTCACTTTTCTAATAGCAGTATTACTTAGAGTGACAAAAGATAATCCATACACAAATATTTAATTAAAGGTGCTGCTTGAAGAACTTATTTTCCATCGGTGCTACAAGAGTATTACTGGTTTTACTTGGCAGCATAAATCAGCAAGGCAAAAGGACAGCTTAAAAGTGCACTGCTAGGAAAGGAACTGAAGTGAGCAACATGAGACCAAAAATAAAGCAAGCACCACCTAAAGTTTAAGAACCTGAAGAGAAAGTCACATCTTCACCCCACACATTGACACAGAGGAAAAACCACTGAAGTCGAGGAACTTGCACCATTAAGAGAGTCATTTGGCTAGTATAAGCCATACTTCCACTGCACAGGGATGCTGCCAAGACTACAGCAGCAAAATCTTAAACCCAGAAAAGCCCAAGATGTACACCTCCCAAAGACCATAAGCGAAAGAAATTTACTGTCATTAGTCCTCACCCCTTCAGCTGTGTTTGACATACCATCTGCAAATGATTAAATATTAAAAGGCACAATCTCTTTTGCACTGGACAAAGACAACCCCGAACTGTTACAGCTCTGTACTAATGGCAGATTCTGGTTAGAAATTTGCTTTGTACTCTAAGCTTTTAAAAACATATTTGGGAGCCACTCAGTTTTCTGAATAGAGTAGTCCTCACCCCTTCAGCTGTGTTTGACATACCATCTGCAAATGATTAAATATTAAAAGGCACAATCTCTTTTGCACTGGACAAAGACAACCCCGAACTGTTACAGCTCTGTACTAATGGCAGATTCTGGTTAGAAATTTGCTTTGTACTCTAAGCTTTTAAAAACATATTTGGGAGCGACTCAGTTTTCTGAATAGAGACTTACCCCAAGAGCTCTGGTAAGTTACAAGCAAGCATGACTTTGTATCAGCTTCACATAAAGCTGGCCTAAAATTCACTGAACACCTACACAACAGGAATGGAGGAATGCCAGGCCCTTGATCCTCTACTGAGTAACAAATTCAGCACAGATACATGCTATATTTTCGCTAGAGCAATTAGCAGCTCACTCCATTTACAACTTACATGGTTGCAGCTTATGTCACCTTCAGTGAAGTACTGGAAAAGACACTACCCATTCACATCTTTCACCAATTTTAAGCCTGTTACAGTTTAACCACTAATTAATCCTCAGCAGCCCTATTTATTTTTGGCAGGTTTAGAGAGCCCAGGTTTTAACTGAAAAGCACAGAAACGGGAAAGGCAGTCCCAGCCAGTGCTGCTCCCGGGACTCTAACCAAAGGTTTCTAGCTGACACCTGAGGCATCAGACCACAGAAACCTTTTGTCCATGCACGCGCAGAACAAACTCGTAGCACTGCAGCAGCGCAGCTACTTCATACTTAGATCACCACAAGCTATCTAGGGCTGCGCCCGGGTGGCCAGCAGATCAAGAGACACATGCAGCTGGTGAGTAATTCAAATACAGCTCACTTGCTAACTCTTAGGTTGTTATTTTTTTTCCCCAGACCGCACTGCCCAGATTTTAATATTGTTATTCAAAATATAAAAGCGGCTTATTTCAAAGAGCATCAGTAACATAAATAAAGCAAACAGCCTTGGGAGTGTGGCCTTGTGCGGGCATGAGTAATTCATGCATCACCTGCTCCCACGGGAGGCAGCGGTTCTTGCAACACCCAGCGAGTCCAGCCTTTCCCAGTGGAGATCTGGGGCAGGCTCTCAAGGACAGAGGAGCAGGAAAGAGAAAGCGGGCCTGAGGTTGGAGCGCTGGGATATGCTGTGCAAGAAGATGCCCCCCCACCCCCAACCGGAATCTAAAATTGGAAAGAGAGAGAGGAAGCTGCGAAAGGGCGTCTCTCTCCAAACCACCGCGTGGCCAGAACTAAGCTGATAAGGTCAGGAAGTCTGAAATGATTCAATTAGCACATGTAGAAGTAACGCGGGTTCACAGCACTGGGAACCATCTCCTCTTCGCTTTCTTTTCTGACCTGCCCAGCACAGTTCTGTGAACTGTTAACCAAACATTTTGCCCCAGAGGTGAAACAAGCCCTAGGGAAATGCACTTTGACAAAACATAACATATTAACACAAGACCCTACAGAAACTGCCAAAGTCCAAAGTTACCAACTCATGGGAACGCAGCAGGGCATGGAGCAGATGACCTCAGTTATCACACTGCAAGGCTTAAACTCGTACAGTTACTTTGGTCTCTTCCCTTCTCTCAACCAGTGCTTTTGGGAACTAACCCACAGTCTCACCCGGTTGGCTACACATCTGCTAAATTTATTTCTGGCAAGATGATTATAATTCACTTACGGAAACATCCTCCTTTAGGCTAAACTAGATTAGTGGAGATATGTATAGCAGATAAAATAGCATTTAAGAGAGATACTGTCA